GTAGGGGTTACAGGAGAATTGTGCAGTTTTGTTCTGAGCTGGCAGCAGGACGTGAGCAGAGGTATTCCAGGGACACCCAAAATACTTCCCTGCATAATTTTGCCATTCAAACTCACCTGGCTGAAGTGTGCAGGCTGTCCTTGGGAAGCACAGGATCAGAGGCCTGGCTCTGAGTATCATCTTTATTGTGTGCCAGAGTTTGTGACTGGCAGGTAAAGGCTTGTTCAAGAGCTCAATTTAAGACTCAGGTTATTACTGAACTTGTCTTGTGAGCACCTCAGCTTTATAATTCCCTTTATAAGGGAAATATTTTGTTGGGTAATTTTTTCCCCATTAAATTTTCCATTCATTTATAAATAATTTGGCAAAACAAACCAAACCAAAACAAAACAAACCAAAACAACAACAACAAAAAAAAAAAAACCAAAAAAACCCCAACAAAAAAAAAAAGCCAGTGATTTGCCCAAGCCAATCCAGAGTCATAAGATTGACTCCCAAAAGTGAGCAGGTTATAGGTTTTCTGTTCATCAGATTTTGCCTTCTTTCTCTGTTTTGTGGTCCTGAGAGCTCCAGTGATAACATCACTATCTCCAGCAGACTTTGTGTGCTCTAACATATCCTTATACAATGTAATTTCTCCTGAGCCCCTTTTTCAAGCCAATGTTGACTCAACTCAAGTTCTTACAACTTTGGGGGTTCTATTAAGTTGTAGAGTTACAGACTTTTTGTGAGAGCTCTCTCAGGTCTATCCATGTGTATGTGTCTATATATGACCTCCATGAGAAGTTGTGGATCCTAATTTAAAGCTTGGCTTCACAAAGAACAAACTGTTTGGAGACAAAAAATCCTTGCTTTTTCCCTCTAATGCAATTTTTTTACCCTTTTATCCCTTTTTTACCAAACCCAAAGTCAAGAGCAAAAGACAACAAGGGGTCCTGACACCTACTCTTTGGAATCTTACCCATAGAAAGAGAAAACAGATAGACAGGCAGGCAGAGTGAGTTTTTTCTCAGGCACAGCTGCAATATTCACATGATCACTTTCATGTGGGAAAGGTATTTTTTGGTTCCTTATATCCATTCAACATTACTACGTACTATTGCCAACCCCAGGAGGAACATGAGTTATGAAAAAGCAAAGCAAACAGATTTGCCCATCTTAGATTTTGCTTTATTCTTGAGGTATCCAAATGGAAACAAGATGTTTGATGTACTTAAAGCTACAAATTTGATTTCATCTTTGGGTTCAGCATTTTGACACATGTAATTTGCCTTATAACAACAGCCTCAAAGCAATGCATTTTGAGGTCACAGGCAAAAAGCCAGTCTACAGCTACTTGTATCGAGCTGTACTTCACATTCTCTGAAAGGAATCAAAATGGAGAAGGCTTTCCTCATTTTTACTGATCTAACAAATTTTCACAAAGTGAATTCTTTTCAACAGAGAAAAAAAGACAAACCCAGAAGACCTTGCTGTAGGTCGTTGAAAGCTGCTCTGTGCCAGTCAGGCCTCACACGACCAGGAAGTGTATTGGCTGAACAGATACTAGCAAATCATTTTTAATACCTCATTTCAGGTCTTTGGAGATTAATTTTATCATAAATTTGGAAGCCTGATTTAATTGCGCTAATTATATTTTCTCTTGGGAATTGATGGATTACTACCTAGCATATTCTCACTGTGCCTCATGAATCACATGGAGGCTTTCTCTTATTTATACCTGCTGGAAGTCAAGGAAACAAGGTACAATAGACATTAAAGAAACATGCAAGAAATTACCCTAAATCATTTGCTACATATTCTTGCTCTTCTTGTGGATCTGTTCTTACAATGATGATTCCATTCTTCTGGAAATAATTGCAGAGACTCTGTTTTAATTCTCTGTCTGTGGGGAATTCACTGAAAAGAGAGCACATTTCAGACATGCAAGACATCTACAGTTCCCCCTCACATCACTCTTTTAACATCATCCACCCATCCACATATATTCCTTTTTGAACGGAATGCTGTGGGTGCAGAAGTAATTGCAGCCACCACACTTCCCGGTACTTGTGATTCCATCAGATGTAATCATGCAGCCTGATTTCGCTGCTGCTGGAATTTGCCACTGAATGGAATAAGGGATTAGGTGACATTCTGTCATAGAATAAAGTTCATCTGTCATGTTCAAGTGCCAATCACCAGGATATCTTGTTTTTGTACAACTTTGGAAAATCATGTTGTCTCCTGGTCTCTGCATGACCTTTCCTGCTCAGTGTTCATTTAATGCCGTAAAGCTTATAATCAGTATTTATCATTTATATGGAAAGAAAACTAGCCCATGCCTATAACAAAGTAGCCATTAAAATCACAGCATCCTTTCTCTCCTCTTAATTCCTCCTCTGGGATCAAAACCAATGCCAAATGTCTTTTTTCCTTGGGGTGAGGTAGATTCACAAGGGCTAATTCTGCACCCCCATCTTCATATCCATTCTTATAGTTTTGTTCTGAAATCTTTCCCTTTCTCTCTGGCTTTTGCAGGCAGAGCAATAGCTAATCTACGAACAAGTACATCTTAAGTTCAGCCTTGGTGCTGAACTGCTACCTGACCTCTCTTTCTGAGCCCACCATGTCCTTCCCCTCTGCAAAAAAGTGAGGTCCCTTGCCCACCACTGTGGTGAAGGGGCACCTTTCTGGATGTTTGTGTGTGCTTTCCACACTGGGGAGCACCAATATTGAGGAAAAATCTGCACTACACTGCTTGGACAGTTGGACATAGTGTAGACTGACTGAAATTCAAGCAGGAGTTGCAGCTGCCAAGGGGTTTCTTCTGCCAGTTAGAAGCACAGGTAGGATGTTGCAAAGCTCTGAGTCCAGCTGGGAGTTGAGCAGGGGGGACAACACCTCATTTTTTTTCCTGACCTGATGAACACAGTATTTTGAAAGCAGTGCATGCTCTAATTGGACTGTACAGTTATTCCTTTTTAGAATTTAATTTTCTCAAATGTCATATCACCTAAAGGTGGACCCTTCTTTCAGATATGACAATCATTTCCCCTTAATTAATTTTGATAGTTTGTTCATCTTCGTGGAACAGACCTTCATGAAGAGAAAGAAACACACATTTCCTTCAGGAGCGAGTTATGAACACATTAAATTGAAAAGCTGCAATGTTCTGTCACATTAGCTTGGTCCCTACAATGCAGCAGTCACGCTTGATAAACGGCGACATTAAGAATAACATTAGAGAACACAGGCACGGGGTTGTGATGGCAACCAGGATACCTATCTGCCCATTGTTACAGACATTGCCCTCCTCATTTATGCTTTTGGGAGCGATGGACATATAGAGGAAAAAGAATCAATATGTTTCTCAATTTTTTCTCATGGATGACAAAAAAATATGTGGATTATAACTGGACTTTTCACTGAGCTGTAATTCTGTAACTTCGGTGCCATAAAAATACATAATTATGCTCTGTTAAATATAGAAGGATGTGGCAAAAGTGGTAAAATTTATTACAGCAATTATTGTTTATTTATTTAATTATTTGTATATATAAACTATATGCGTGGGTGTATAATGTTACATAAACACATAGGAGCAGTTTTCCAGGGTGTCTATCACTGTCATACCAAAGTGCTGATACTGCTGTGAGGAGGAGGCTGATTGCCTATTTAAGACTCTAAGTGGCAGTGAGGATTATTTTCTTCTGCTTTTGACCTACCTTTCCCCGTCTCTGAATGGCTGGTGTTCAGTTCTTTCTTTAAGCCAGTTTTCTGGATAGGGCTTGCTTATTAAAAGTCACAGACATTATTTTAAATCACACCGCTGTCAGTGAACCTCTTTACTGGATCACACTTGCTATGGAGTCCTGAAGGTTTCTGGCTTGAACTATAGCACAGACATCTTTGAAACATATCCTCTGATTTCACTGCACTTTTAACAGTGTCATTTTTCCAGAACCCTTGGTGTTATTTTGCCCTTTTCATTGGAATCAATAGTACCGGCACTGTTCCCACATGAGGTCACTTTTAGGCAGACACTGACCACTTCCATTACACCACCTGTGCTTTCTTTTGCCCTCTTTCCTATATGTAATTCAAATCAAATACTTATTTCAAAAGCCAGGACAAGTGTGTCAAATATTATGTACAAGACTCATGGTAAAACTGGAAGAGCTGGCAGTGTTATCAGCAAACCCTGATATTTATTCTCTTCTAAAACTAGGCTTGGACTGTGATGTCCAAAAAGAGCTTGAAGCTAGTTAGGAGACCTTTGTGCTGGAGCTAGTGCCTATGCAGTTGCTGAGTAAAGTCCCTTGGTTTCCCCTCTTGCCAGCTGTGCCTGTGTGGCAAGCTTACAGTGACAGGAGCTGCCACTTGTGCTCCATATTTTTGTGCAGCAACTAAGACACAGATCTCTGGTTCATTAGTCTGGCTCCTACAGTGCAAGCAAATTATAATAGTTTAAACACAGTTGGGTTTATTTTTAGTCTGAAGGATAACATGTGGCCATGGCAGAGACAGAAAAGCGAGGCAGAGAAATTCTAATGGTTTAGCTTTTCTACTTCCTCAGGACTTTTGTAGAGAGTAAGGCAAAAAGAGGTAGCAGGTGAGAAACATAGGCTATAACCTGTGTTAAGCTCCTGACTCCTACTGGAAACAACTTCCATGGAGAAGGTTGGCATCCCCATCAGGGGAAAAGTGGAAGAGAATTTGGGTAGTATAAATACATGCTTTCTCTGTATCTGTTTATGTGATGAACAGCATTTATCCACAGCCACTCTCCCAGCCAGGCAAAGCTGCCTCTGGGGAGCAGGACCTGCCCCTGGAGAAGAGCCCAGGGGCAGGGCTGAGCCCATGAAAGGCAGCCAGGGGAACAGCTCTGGCATTTTTCCTTTAATTTCTATATGGGAGTAAGCCAACAGGGGTGCTGAGAGGGTTTAAGGACAAGGCAGTCCTCAAAATAACTCATCTTACAATTTCTTTCCTGTCTTGTTTTTCTTTTTTTTCTGCAGAGTTAAATGTAAGAGATTCTGATGTAAGAGTGTGTGATGAGTCGTCATGTAAATATGGAGGAGTGTGCAAGGAAGAGGGAGATGGCTTGAAATGTGCGTGTCAGTTCCAGGTAAGGGCTGCTCACCTGTTTGCCATTTCTAACAAATCCTTCAGGTGTATTGAAGTATTTGTAGAGTCACTGCTTCGAAAATTCCACTCAGCAACAGGCTTATGGACTCTAACCATGTGTCCCTTTTTCAATGGCACTGATTGGATCAGATAACATCAGTGATCATAAAGGTTACGAATTAAAACAATTAATTAGTCCTGCTCAGAAAAAAAAAAAAATTAAATGTCTTCTGAAGTTTTAAAAAGAAGTAAATAGCAGGTTCAATTTTTTGTCTGGTTTTCAGCCTTTAGTTTACAGTTTTTATAACTGTCATGGCAATTCTTCTCCCCTCCTGCCACCAACTTTTTTAGACAAAAATACAGCAGTTCTTTCTTTTCGCAGTTTATAACCAGGACAAATGTATCAAATATTATGTACAAGACTCATGGTAAAACTGGAAGAGCTGGCAGTGTTATGAGCAAACCCTGGAGTGGGCTGTCTTTCAGTGTTTTAAAAATAATTGTGTGTTCTGTTTCCGATAAATAATAAATCAAGGAGAACCAGAATAGCAATGGTGTGTATATGATCTTACACTGGTTTTGGATTCCAGTGTTTCAGCGCTGGCTTTTGATAGTGTGATGTTCACCTGTGCTGGGGACATTGTTCTAGCTGCCTTTTAAAGGGTGAAAAAATTTTTATGAGACAAGGCTTTTTCATCTGTCTCAGTCTGCCTGCAGCATTTATTTATGAAAAATAGTAAAATCAAAGCTAAGTAATGATAGATAAAAAAAAAAAAAGGAAAAGAGATACAACCCTAGGATAATGAAAGGTTTAATCTATTTTTTGTAGGTGGTAAATTTTGTGACTTCCTAATAACCAGGTCTTGAAGACATTAAAAAAAAAATAAATTATTCCATGTGCTAAACTGTTTGTTTTGAAGAGTGCATTTTTTTAAAAAGCATTGTTTTTAAACTACTTGCATGTTTACTTGTACTTCTTGAATAATTTATTCTATGCTCTTAGGAAATAAGTCTATGGGTGAGGAGAAGATACTGTGTTTTTCAGACACAGCAGGTTGAAAATCTTCCTGTAACTCACAAATTTAATGAAGCTTACTCAAGTTGCTGCAATTAGCAGCACCAAAATTTCCAGGCAGCAAACACCCAGCCCAAACTGTTAAGTTCTTCACATGCAAGACTATCTGAGGCCTAGCTATTTTTTTTCTCATATTTCAAGGTTTTGAAAGGAAAATAAACACATTTGTGTATAGTGGTTCAGCTGAAGAGGCAGTGAAATGAAGATGTGAGAATATCAGCCTGTTCTTCCAGAAGTGTGTTTCCTGTTTATCACAGAGCTGGATAACTGTGCCACTACATTTTTTTCCTAAGATTACTTTGCAACCCCTGCTTGTAGTTCAGAGGTCTAAGTGTCTTTGCATAACATATATGTTATGTATGTCAAAAGCTTTAGCCAGGAAAATACTTGCTGAATTAATACAGCAAGGCATTTCTTATGTTGTTAAAACTGCAATTTTTAGAAAAATGTACCCTAACAAGAGAGTTGCAAAATTAAATTGATCTGGGATCCAGATTGTGATCAGGTAAGATATTCCTGCTAGCGAGGAAATTGCAGAATCCATGAATATGCTGAGTTAAAGGGGGCCCACAAGGGTCATTGAATCCTGTTCCTGACCCTGCACAGGACATGCCAGGAGTCACACCACATGCCCAAGAGCACTGTCCAAACACTTCTTGTATCCTGTCAGGCTGGTGCTGTGACTATTTCCATGGGGAGCCTGTTCCAATGCCCAAGAATCCTCTGGGTGAGGAATCTTTTCCTGGTATCCAACCTGAACATTCCCTGGCACAACTTCAGGCCATTCCCTTGGGTCCTGTCACTGGTGACCAAAGAGAAGAGATCAGTGTCTGCCCCTCATCCTCCCCTCACAAGGAAGTTATAACTGCAAGGAGGTCTGCAGGACAGAGGGATGTTTTGCGGATCAGAGTGGCACAACTAATCGTAGCCACTCCTGAACTAAGGCCGAGATGGGCACAAACTCTCTTCAGATTAGGGAAAATGGATGACAAATTTCAGTGTTGTTTGAAACACTTATAATGTCATGGCAGCAAGAGCTCTGCAGGCTGAAAGGTCTTTTGCTGTATTTTGGATGAGTTTTACAAAACCTGAATGAAAAACTGGTCAGCACCTAGTGTGTGTATTATGAACCAGTGGGGGAGGTAAGATGGAGCGAGGTGCGATGAGGAGAGAGAGAAACATCATGGGGCTCTTTTCCAATTTCAGTAAGAAAGGCTTAACAACAATCAGTTTAATTAGATAACTACTTTAATAGGAGAGAATAGGAAAAGGAGCTAAGTGACAGTGAGCAAATCTTGCAACCCATTCAGATGTTGGATGAAATCACACAGCCCTGGATGGACCTCAAGTGGATTTTCCCATGGCACGCTGTGCTGAGCAGATCCTGTGCACAAAGAGATGCTCTCCCTTTTGGCCATTTGAGGTATTAGAGGACTTCCTCACAAGAAAACAACTTCACTTTTGAAGGGTGCTCGCAGGAGAACTTTGGGCTGTACTGTAACAAATCACTAAAGGCTTACTAAACTGTAAAAAAGGAATCCCTTTACTTTTAATTTTCTGTCCTCAGAAGAGAACCTGCAAATTTAAAACATCACACAGAGACTTAAGGAGAATTGAGAATTAGCTATTGAACAGATAACCATCTATTGGAAAGTATTGTCCCCCTTGGGAATTGTCTGTTAATTGCTCTCTAGAAATTACTGTTTTGTATGGCATGGGGCAGGACTAATGGTTGACTGTCTGAGAGCTGCTCACTATGGGGAAGTATTACATAACTGTTAGAAATAATTTTCAGAGCTGGCAGAATGATTTATTTTTGTCCATACCTGCTTAGTTCATTCTCAGTTGGTCATCTATGGCAAGATGACAAAGGATTGGAGGGTAATAGCCTTCAAAATTATGTTTTAACATTTCAGTATTTTGACCTTTATGTACGTCAAACCACAAAGAAACTGTTGTGGGAGAGACTCTCATTTGGAATTTGGAGAAGAGGCTCTTTTATTTTTAAGTCATTTTAGCATAACTAATGTTGTTATTTCTGCATGCACTCTCATGGGTTGAACTATACCAGTTTAATCATAAACTTTGTGTGGTTAAGAACTTTGGTAGCTACTCTGTATTTCATCATTGCTTCTTGCTTTTTGATTTTGGTTGGGTTCTTTTTACATTGGGGTGTTGAAGATACAAAAGGTGTCTGACATTAGTTACCACCACACACCCAAACAGGGCAATATCTCCTTTTCCATGCTGTGAGGCAGGGTTTGGACCTCCAGTTCTGCAGGAAGTCATGCAGCACTCTCGGATGTTAGGCAGATTGGTGGTCCCAGCATCTGAATGCACATTATGTGTACAAGGGGCTTATAATCCATTTCTGTTAGAATATAAGAAAACAACAAAATGCAGGTTGTTTCTGCAAAAGCTATTCTGAATGATAAGTTTTCCTTTTTTCCTTTCGTTTGTATCAAATTCTACTAAATTTAAGATTTAAATTTTTCAGTGTAATAATAGAATAACATTATTGTAGTTGTTGACCAAATAAAAGATTCATGATGCTCTTGAATGTAATGAGAGTGGCTATTGTTTTCCACCTCCTTTGTAAGACTGTTCTGACCAAAAAGGTCAGCAAATCTCCCCTTAAGCACTGTTCTCCTTAAATTCTCCTTTGCTCACTTTCAGCCCCTTGTGCCTAGTCATACTTTCTTTTGTTATCTTGCAGAAGTTTTCTCTTGCCTCAGTGTTTATCCTTCAAATACTTCTAGATGCCTGACATATTCCCTCTAGCCAGTACAAAGTCCCACCATAGTTATTATGTGCTTTTAATCTTTCCTACTGAATTCCCATGTTCAGTCCATGTGGAGTTAGACTATTATTTCAGTGATCCGAGAGGAATACATATATTCATACTGAAAAACTAATATATTTCTATCAAGTAGTTCTTTCACAAAAAGAGTTATAAGATGCTGTTAATAACACAACTATCTTCCTGTATATTAATATGCAGTTCAGAATAATCACTTGATTTCTGTATGACTGGGTTATATTATAATTTCTTTTCTAGTGTCACACGAATTATATTCCAGTTTGTGGATCAAATGGAGACACTTACCAAAATGAATGCTTCCTCAGGAGAGCTGCTTGCAAGCACCAGAAAGAGATAACAATGGTGTCAAGAGGACCTTGTTATTCTGGTATGTAAAACATCACTTTATGTCACTAATGAATGATGTTTTATGGTTAGCTCTTTAGTTTTGCCCTTAATTCCAGCAATTAAAATTTTTGTGCTTTTCAGAGGATGAAATAATGTGGAAAGCCCGAGTCCTCTTTAGGAATGGAATCTTTTGCTAGACAAGAAATCTGATATATCTTCTGATATGCTAACAGATTAATAAATAAACACTACAAGCTGAAATACTTTATCTGAGAAAATAGATTATTAATGCTTCTGTAGTGCTTATAGATGAGTGTTGATACCCATCAAGAGGCTTTTAACAAATTTGGAGCAGATTCCAAATTAGCCATTTCTTTAGGACTTTTATTCTTAGGATATATAGAATTAGTGTAGCATCCAACGAGTGACACTGAGCATCCTGAGTGCCACTCTACCTGTATCCAAGGCATCATCTTTGACTTTGGGTCATTACATTGAAGATATGCATAACTTACAAAATCATTCTACCTCACATTTCTAATGAACTTGCTTTTTTTTTGTCTTTCCACACACTTAAAGCATAGATTTTTCCACGTTTCAAATACATGGTGCAGATTTTCCCTGTCTTGAGTATTACAAGATACTCTTAGACAGAGAAACTAACCACCAGTGGTGTTCTGAACCTCTGGGTAGATTCAAAGCTGGTAAGACCAGACACATGGCTGGCTTTCTTAGAAGGAAATTAAATGACTCAGTAGTGTTAACAACTGCAATCTTTGGTACATAAATAATACACATGAAATATTAAGTTGTGGGACATCCCTCATCTCTGGATACAGAATTGTTGCTTTGATTAATCTAAACAAGGTTACATCCATACGGGGGCCAAAAGCATGACCATGGGTCAGATGCACACTCCTTCCTAACTTCACGTTGGTTAGTTGCAATGACAATTTGGAGTTATCAGGCCTGGAGCTCACTGGTAGCTGCAGAATCTTATCTGGAAGTTGGGGTAAATGCACGTGCAGGGTACCTAGTCCAAGTCCTCAGCACTGCCAGTCCCAGTTACCTCGTTTAAATGTAACATGTTTCACACCAGCTGCCCTTTGAGGCCTTTGCCCTATCCTGAGCTCTGGCTCATGTTTGCTAAGGTCCAAAACAATTTGTGGTGTTGGTCCTAATACTGAAGGAAGCCTATGTTTTGTGCCCAGCTCAGAAGCATAATTCCAGCATCCCTCAGGCTGATGACTGAATCTACTGTCTTTCTCAATCTCCCACCTCTCTGTAAATAACCTCCATAATTTACCTCTCTGTAAATTATCTCCAGATGCTGCAGAAATGGGGAAAAAAATGCAATCCAGTTTGGAGGACTCACATATTACTATAACAACACCCAAAAAATATGAGGGTTTGAACTGAGGATGTATAATCAAATAATATTTTTTAATTTCATGCCCAAGTCATTTTAAGAAATGGACACACAGCATGAAAGTTCATTTCTATCACTAAAACAAAATTCTAGAATAATGTTTTAGGAACAACAAAGAGTGTTTGCATATTTATGCATTCTACTCTACTAAGAAAAAGAAATTCAAAATGAAAAATCGATTCTTCTCAGCCTCAGGTTGCTGGCAGCTAATTACTACATTATACAGCTAGTACAGGAATTCTTTTTTCAACCTTCCTCTTCTTTTCTTTAAGTCCTATATAAAACCCAGGAAATGCAGCATAAGTTTTAGCCCTTAGTGTAACAGATCAAGAAACGTGCTGAAACACAACGCTCCAGAAAGCGCCGAAACCACGTTTGTGAAAGCAGAGCTTCTGATTCAGGCTGCATGCTGCACTTACACTGTTGCAACTTTAAGTGCCTCAGCAGAGCTCCACTGGAATGGCACCTGCTGCTCCCTGAGTGCCTGATGTGCTTCGGGTGACAGCAAAATATCGGATGATAAAAGTCATCACCCAGAACCTCTCCGTGCCCTGCCAAGACGGCGACATATTTGTGCTCTTGATCTGTTACACGTACAATGGAGACTCAGATATCAAATTAAAAGATATTTTGTAGACCCCCATTAATTTTTACTGGTTGCCTTTGAATTTGCTATTAAAATGCTTTGTTCTAGGGCATGATTGGGAGACAAGTACAGACACACTGGTTTCCTACCCAAGACAATAGGATGAAATTCCTCCTTAGTGTTGGAACAACTGTTTAATATTTAAAGTATAACAGAGTTCTGAATCTCATACAAGAATAAAATACTTCTCATTTGCTGGGAATTGATACCTTCTGTAGCTACAGCACTAGAACAGGCTACACTGAGTGATTTAGTTACTAAATCATTATTCTGTTCCTTGGCAGGTAATATTTTGATTAAAATTTTACAGACATAAGTGATTTGCAAGGTATTTTCTTATTTCCTTTGCCGGAAGGCTGTCAGAGTTTCAGGATTCTAAAATAAGCAATGTTTAAAAAAGAGTCAATTATAGATGCTTTAGAAATAAACAAAATGCAAGTTTTGACATTAAAAATGGTTGTTTAGAGAAATGAAAGAGAATGTATGGATGAAATTTTGGGTCTGCATGCACAGGTATTAATATTGATTTTGACTGCTGCCAGATTTATATTGTATGCACATGAAAATGTAACCACACAATGATGTAGTACTTGATTATACTTGCAGTTTCTCAGTGTACTGTATACATTTGGAAGCCACAGTCCATTGCTTTCTGTTGAGATTTCTAAGTAAAAAAAAAAAAAAAAAAAAAAAATTGGGGAGAGTAAACTATTTGCAGCACGTTACACAAGCACAGAAATTATTCTCTTAGGAGGAGAATTATTCTCTTATGGAAGGGTCTGCTTGCTTGAAATTTGTCAGTGGACTGTTTGCCCTCCTGTTTGTACTTAGTAGTTTGGAGCTGTTGCCCTAAATGGGAAAGAGATGGGTTCCATTTTTATGCTACTTTGAGAGTTAAAAGCCATCTCTCCCTCCTGAATGAGAGAAGCTGCAGGCATTTTTTGTTTTGGGGAATTTTTTTCTGCCTCTGCACCAAAGCAGACCCACAGTACAGAAATGGCTCCTGTTCAGAAAGAACAAAAAAGGAGATTCTGACTGTAGCTGAGTGCTTACAGCATTGAGATTCTGTGTCTCATCCAAGTCCTTCTTTGTGTATTTTATCCAAAAACTCCTTATGGATTAAAGCAGCTCACAGCAGAAGCTTGTATATTTGTGTATTAGCATTTTTTTATAGAACCATGGAATGGTTTTGTTTGGAAGGGACTTTAAATATAATCCAGCTCTCACCTCACAGCTCTGGGTAAAGATATCTTCCTCTAGACCAGGTTGTTCAGAGCTCCATCCAGGCTGGCCTGGATCACCTTGAAGGAAAAGCCACCTTTTTGGAAAAGGGTGGCTTAAGTAAAGATAGAGGTCAATCACTCCTCCTCTAATTACTGACCAGTGTCTGGGGAAATGCTGTTTGTGCCCAGCATCTTCACTTCTCTGAGCATCTTTCTTGACTGATCTTGGTGCATGAAGACAACTTTTGAAAACCCTGAATTCATTAAAGGCCTGAAAAGAGCAGGGCTGCTTGTCCAGGCAAGCTGGAAAAAAATGCTACTCTTTTAACCAGCAGCTGCCTGGGAAAATCTAGCCAAAGCTCAGGAAAAGAAAAAAAAGCAGGAACACCAGCTTAGTTTAGCATGGTTACCCTGGAGATGAGAGTCCTAGCATAGCTCCAAGGGAAAAGTTGAAAATGATACAGTGTTATAGAGGATGACGCTTTTTTTTCTTTTAATCCATTTTGAGAACTGAAAGTCCAGAGAAGTAGAAATTAATCTATCCTGCTGCTGTGATGTCCTGCCAAGTGGACTTCATGTATGTCAAGCCAATTATTTGTAGAGATGGGTGGTGTGAGCATCAGCTGCATGATTTACAGGGTGCTCTCCATGTGTGGTACCTGCCCTGCCCCATGCACACAGGATTTAGCCAGAGTCCCTCATGCTGGGCTGAGCAGCATTTCTCACATCAGGGGAAAGCAGTCAGAGAGTGAGAGCTGGAAATAAAAACATGGAAAAACTCGAGATTCTCTGAGACATTTTGCCCTTTGTCTTTCATATGCATCACATATGGTGAACTTGCTCATATTTATATGTCAGCTTCCTCTCCCCCAAAACTGCTTATGACACAATTTCACCACCACAAATAATCCTATATATTAACTCATATAAGTAAATTATGCTCTTCAAATTTCTTAATGAAGCAATACTGCACCATAAGGCATAATTCTCAGTGACTCAACAAGGACATTTTATATGGGATTGCCTGCTTTGTCAGTAAAGTGGGTCACTATCGATGGAAAAAAGAACCTTCTGGTTTTTGTGTTAATTTCTGTAAGGTTATAAGCTCAGTCTGTTAGACACCAAATAGTGGTATAGGAGGAAAGAAAGGAAAGTTAAGGCAAAAGATAAACAAATCTCTATTCCTGATACTCCATGTGACAGGAAATAATTTTTAATGTGTGAAGTGACCCAATAACGTGGAATTTCACACTTTCATCCACATACTAGAGGGAATTATTCTTAGAAATACAGTTCCTTAAAGAAAAGCTGGGGAGGGAGCTGAGAAAAGAGAGGGTTTGGTTTTTCTTCTGATGTTAACAACAACCTCATGTGTGGAAGCAAAATTCCCACTCCTCTCTCTCTCTGGCCTCCTTCTCTCAGTTTTTAGCAGATAAATTCAGCTGCCTTCTCCATCACCAAAGCAGGCATGAAAGGAGAGGTGTGGGATGGGCAGAATGTGTGCTCTGCTCCTCTCCTCTCCTCAGCTTCCAGAGAAGCTAATCTAACAGGAATGGGAGACAATCTACTGACAGTAGTTGCCATTCCACTCTCTCCTCTCCTCCTCCTTTGAGCAGGAAAGGCAGGAAGTTTTGTGACTCAGTTCATGTGTTTAAGGGTTTGTCTTTACTGCTGTGCTAGCTGAAGCCTGTGCAGAGCCCTGCCCAGTGGGATGCACATGAGAAATCCCTAAACAGATCCATAGTGCTCTGAAGTAGAGTTAGTTGGCTGGGGGTGGTGAAGAAGCTCAAGTCCTGCTGACACTTGAACTGCTAATGCAAATGGGATCCAGTTGAAAGCTGTCACTCACCAGATGCTAATCCTGTCAGTCAAATGTCAATGAAATAACAATGCCATTAGAGCATCTTTATACCAAGTGATTGACTCAACTGACAGAAGCAATTTTGACATTAGATGACTTAAATCAACCTTACTTGGATGACTAGTTGTTTTCTAGAGGTACTTCTGCAGTCAGGTGATTTATGTGTTGAAGTACTCCTTGAAGTACCACTGGCCAGGGCCAGAGGGTAAGGAAAAATAAACGTTCCAAAAATTGGACTTTGTACTCTTCATCTCTTTTGGGTTTAACAAATTTTAATCTCTAACAGTTGAAAAGAGGCTAAGAAAGATATTTGTTTTCAGTATTGAATAATGCTGTTCCTTGAGTAACATCTTGACAGGGAAGAGAGAGACTAGGGCACAGTGAGCGTGGACAAATAGTGTTAAAGGATGCCAGATCTTATGTGGGATATTTGTTTTTACAGCTGGCTCATGAAATGTAACATCTGTGTAATGTTTTACAATGACAAGTTCCTGAACAAACAGCTGCTCCTGGAGCAATATTTTAATTTGCTTTCTTTTTTTCTCTCCCCCTCTGTTTCTTTTTCAGATAATGGCTCTGGGTCGGGAGAAGGAGGTGAGTACCAAACTCCACTTATCTTTGGTTTTGGTCTTTCTTCTAAACAAATGTGTGCCAGTTTTATACACATATATACACATGGCTACTGTATACAACACGAACTGAGGTATACAGTAGGGAAAATTATGATACTTAAAATAAGCTTTAAGGTTGCAGTATTATTGGACCATCTCAGAACAATAGTGGTAGAGGAATAGGTTGTAGTCTGCATTTTACCAATATTGTTCTCTCAGATTTGACCTATCTAATTTTTCATTTGTTACCAGCAATGCAGTGCAATATTTAGATCCCTATTTCAGCTGTATTTCTCTCCTGAAAATGACCATTTGCAATAAATTTCTTTCCATTTTTCCCTTGCATTTATTTTGTTAATATCTAAAACATCTAAGTTGTTACCTTATGCTTGGTTGAGTTGTTGCCTAAAATATAAAACAATTGCATTATTATATCTATTTATAGAAAGTATTTTACTAAAGTATTTTTTGTTCAAAGCTGTATATTCAAAGAAGGGATGTAGCACAACTGGTGATAGGAGAAGTGTTTCCATCTTTCAACACATCTTAATCTTCTTCAAGGATTAAAAAAAAATTATCTTAATTCTATCTTTGATACTACTTACATAGAATACATATAGAATGGAAAATATGAGACACAGATATATACAAATACAGAAAAACTGGTTTGCTTTCAGGCTTTGGTAGTATTAACAAGGTGTTGCATTTCATGGTGGTGGGACTGAGTTTTGAAGTACTGTAAATCTTGTCTAGCTACATGAAAATGTGTTTTTGTGGAAAACCATCTATGGCAACACTGTGTAGCTAAATGCAACAGTTAACTTCTCAAAAACCAGGAGCTAGCTCACTCTTTTTTTCCTGTATGGAGGTGAAGGGGGGCATTCCCCTCCCCTTAAATAAGCTGCTATCAGTAAATTCCTAGGCTGCTGCTAGCACAGGGCCATTCTCACCTTTGTCTCCTTTTGGGTCAATATCTGAAGGAAAAGTTTTCTGCTCAAACACTTCCGCTTCTTACCTCCACAGGTGACATTTCTGATGCTGCACACTCTTTCCCCAGTTCTGTTTGCTTCTCCTTCCCCCTTTGATAACCAGCCTGTTATTCCACTAGGACTGCTCCCTGCAAGCCAATCTTTCTGGCCTTGGTACCGCTCTGCAGTTCTTGTAAGAGACAGATGACAGTAATTTAGTCCACATTTCACTTTTATTTTTAGAACAGTTTTAGAAAAGTTTGAATGCCATTGAGATTAGTTGGGTTTGGGGTTTTTCAGTATTTTCTAACTACATACAAAAATCCTGGTTAAAGTATCTTGTAAATGTTACTGTGCTGATCTGGAAGATTGGCAGCTGACTGATAGATGTCAGGATTCTTTGGGTAGCTTCAAGAGCAGTTTCGAAAAACATAGCCAGAACATGCTATGTTTTGTTGGCTGCTCACAGAAGAGGTGAAAGGTCCATGTTCAAATATACTCGTTCCTTGATTTGGGGCAGGAGGCTGAGCCCAAATCCACCTGTAGGAGCAAGAGAAACGCACATGGGCTTCCCTTTGTCATTGATATTCTTTTTGTTCTCACTTCAAATGTTCACTGAGCCTGGGACAAAGAGTTGGAGAGGAAGGATTCGTGCTGTGGAAATGCTTTGTTAGCTGGGGCTCAGCATGCCAGTGCATTTGAATTATTTATGCAAAATAGAATGCCATCGGCTTAGGAAGTTTGGTGGTCCCTCGATACCTTGCAGAAGTGGTTGGTGCATTATCTTGGGAGGTGGAATATGTAGATTCAGTGCACTTCAGGCAGAAAGAATTGAATCTGGTTCCCTTGGTCCCAGGTGAGTTTCTCCACTGCCTGGGTATTGAATTAAGAAGGAACAATGTACCCACTCTGTCCTCTGGCAGTTTTGTGACATTAGGCCTTCATTTACTGGGGCTTCTTCTGAGTGCCTTTGGGCCAACTGAAATGTTCCTTCTTCTCTTCGGTATGGAAACAATTGGGCTTAGTTCTTAATTTTAGGTTAAGGAAATTTAAACAATGAGACATTGAAAATCCTGCTTGGCTCTTCTTTTTTTTTTAATACATCTTGGATATTTGTGACACATTAAATTATTCCTGTCCTTGTGCACCTTCCTTGCTAAACTGGATGTTGGGTAATACTTCTGTGGGACAGCTGGTTAGTCTTCAACCTGTTGTGTCATTTTCTGTGTCTGAAAGCAATCCTTCAAAGAATGGAATCCACTGCTGCTTTGGTTGTTGAACTCCGTCCTGGCTGAAAACTCAAGGACATTTTTGTAACTGGAATTTGGTGGTTTTTTTTCATAATTCAGGTAGTTGTAAAAGTGTTACATGAAAGCATTAAAACCTGAAAAGTCTTACTGCAAGTTAAGGGAATTCAGAAGGAAAACCAGACTTCTGGAAGCCTGTTGGACCTATTGAGGATGGAGATGCATTGTTTGGAATCCAAACAAGAAGAAAGGATAGGAGCCCAGGCAGAGGGTGACCTGCAGGGTAGAGGTTCTCCATGGTGCCCTCCACACTTCTGCTTCTCTGGTTATTTCAGCTGTGGGACTGTCTGCTGCAGAACTGCATCCTGGTCCAGCCTTCCTCATTTTCTCAATAAAGGAATGTTTAATCTCATACTCTTGGATAAGGGTGCTCAAACAGGAATCTAATTCCCTAGAGAGCCTCTGTGCCCTACAGGTTAGGTACAGCTCCTGCTTGGAAGCACAAGGAAGCTTCAGTGAATGTGGAAAAATGCAAGGATGAGTGAGACAGAACCAGCAAGCAAGCAAACATGCTAGCTTAGAGACTTGTGTTTTCTTCCTAGGATCTATGATTCCAGATGTTAATCACAGAATCAGTGTTTGCTATGTTTCTCAAACATGCAATTAGTGTGATTGTGTATGCACCAGCGATGCTTGCACACACGGAATGGATGAGCACAGCTGCTCCTGTGCATTCAGGAGGCATTGCAAGTGCTGTGCAGATGCACTGTTTGCTGGTGGATTTTTAACTTTGAAAGAAAGCACTGGGAAAGCATCTGAGTTGTGCTCTTCAGTTGCTATATCTCTGCCTGAGACAGTCTCCACTGCTGAAATTAGCTGTTGGCCTCATGTTTAGCTAAGATTTGTGCTACTGATTCACACTGTTCTTTTTTGTTTTCTGCATTTCATTGCAGAACAATCTCATTGATGATTCTGAAACTTGACTTCATGCATATTCTCCCTCCTACTACCATACTGTGTGATGTTAATGCATTCGTTTCTACATAAAAAAAAAAAAGAAGAAAGAAAGAAAAGTATATTTAGAAACAAGAGAAATTTTCTACATTTAAAAAAAAAGAAGAAAGAAAGAAAAGTAGATTTAGAAACAAGAGAAAAATCCAAGATAACGAAATCCAAAAAACAAGGGAAATATATTTAGAAACAAGAGAAAAATCCAAGATAATGAAATCCAGAAAACAAGGGAAAAGGGGCTTTTTTTCCTCAAAGATTGCTTCAGACAATGTCTTGCCTTAGTAGTTATCATATGCTACAAGAAAAAACACCTATAAGACCATGGAACTGCTAGTTGAGGTTCTTCACAAATCATCTTTACTGTTACAAAAATACTAGATTTAGGAAAATAATTAAGAATGGGAGAATTTTTTCAGTATACCAAAATGAGATGAAGTAATATAATTTTCAAGGATGACACAATTGTCTAGTTGCCCTCTGACATTCTGAATGAGCTATTTCAATTTTCTATGCTTGGTTAGCGTTGAGTTGTAATAAAACGACCCATTTTTCTAATTTCAAAAGTCTGAAACTTCATTAGTGTCATAAAAATTGTAGTTATGAAACCAATAAGTTGGTCACTTGTGGTAATAGGTATCCTGAGCCACTTCTAAGAAGAGCATATGATTGTCAATTCAGAAATGAGAGAAATTTTAAAAATCTCAATACTCACCATTATGTTTCACCCCTACAGAAGGCAATGTCAGAGAGCCTTTAAAGAGTTTTGCTAAGACTTTAAAGAGTTGGGATCATGGCTAAAGATGGTGGGACCCTTTAAATTTGCATGTAAGATGTGGGCTTCTCTCTGTATTCTCATATGAATCATTCTGCAATTTCCCTGTTCTGAAGAATACAGTCATAAAATTAGGCCCTTTTTTTCATCAATATTTTGTTAGACTTTGAGACAGAACTGGAGAAGGACAAGGTACAGGCTCAGATTTGTGTTCATCTCTGCCAGTTGTGAATTGCAACACTATTTGAACTGCTGGATGTATTTCCATAACATGTAGATTGGGGCACAAAAAATTATTCTGAAGCTATCACATGCACATAAAAAAGTAGACTGCCAGCTCACAGCTGTGATGTTGACTTTGTGATAGAGTAAGGCCTTTGCAAGAATGTGTTGAAAGCCATCAGCATTTGTAGCACACACCATGAAAGAGCTAACAAATGGTAAAGGCTTTTCAAGCCAGCCTCTCAGAAACAAATCACTGTCCTGGAAGAAGCAGGTTCCCTGCTCTAGTAATCAACCAACAAGGGTGAGATTTCTAAGTGCCCTACTATGCCCATAACATTAAATTTTAATTCATTTTGTTCAGTGTTTGTCTGTGTACCTGAGCAAAATGCCCTTTTGATATTAAAAAAGTTGTAATGGTAGTTAGACAGATGGCACCCAATCATTTCAGGCTTTTAAGCTAAGGAAATAACATGCTTGAAATACATACAGCTAAGTTAATTATTATTAAAATAATTTGTTTTGAATTTCTAATCCCTCTGAAATTTAATAGCTGAAGTATCTTGTGATGAACGTCTAGCAGATTGCATTTAGTAATTAATAAATTGATATACAGTATGTGCTTTTTAGCAGGCTGCCATCTGTTCCTTCCCCTCACTGGGGACAACACTTATCCAGTAATTGTCACACAGTCAGGGTGGAATAAACACACACAATTTAGAGGCTCGAATATTTTCTATTTTAATTTGTAATAGTGCCACTG